CCCCAAAACCCCAAAACCCCAAAACCCCAAAACCCCACCATTATTGTAGTAAATTGAAAACTTCAAAAAATTAGGTACCTTCACTTAAGCATTCTTCCAAAGAACTTTAAAACATGCTCCCACAACCAATTGAAAAAGTTAACTTCGACACACTCAATAACCTCCGTGAAGAAGCCAAAAAAAAATTATGTTGCTTGCCTTACTCTTGAACAGGCTGGAGTCAAAGAGATTCCTAAACTTCCCTGCGGATGGGCTCACACATACACAAACAAAGCTATCCCTCTTGATTATGAAACTGAGAAGAAATTGCGTGGAGGTGAAAACAAACAGGACTGAGAGTCGATAATTCCTTGCCATTCGATAGCTAAAAGAATCAGTAGAAAATTGTATAACCCCAGAGCAATGAGCTTTAAGTATAACTATCAGGAGCTTCTTGAAAGACATGAGAGAAATAAAGAGATCCAAAATTTCAAATTGATGAAAACTGTCTCATGTCACCAAACTATAAATGTTTGCAAGTTTGACTCAACAGGAAAATATTTTGTAACAGGTGGAGATGATACTAAGATTAAGGTCTGGACAACTATTAATAGCCTTTGCCAAAAAACCTTAGATTTCCACCAAGGCATGATCTGCGATATTGTGATAAGCAAATGCAACAAATTCATCATCTCAGGTGATAGTAAGGGTCAAATTTTTATCACAGACCTCCTAGAGCTGACTGTCATAAAGTTTATTGATATCCATAAAGAAGGGATTGATCAACTTACTACTGTTATTGACACCACAACCTCTAAAAATAGGGAACTTCTAGTGTGTGCTGGAGGTAAAGAGGGAATCGTCACCATATTTGACCTCACTTTTCTGACTGATAATCGAGATAAACCCTTTGATACTAAAGATCCAAAGTTCTTCCTCTGGAAACTCGATTGATGTTCAGGTGTTGATGAAGATAAAATGAGACGGAACAAGAAAATAGCCTCTGTAGTAATGGTACCAGAACAAAACTTGGTCATTGGAGGGAGCTACGGAGGTGAGATCATTCTATTCAAGCTTAAGCAGGAAGACTGAACCTTTATTAGAGTTGCCTACAAATGCCTAAAAGATTGAGTTCACCTATTAAAACTTACTAATGATAAGACCGCAATCATTGCTGCTTCTGCAAAAGCTGGTGCTGTTCTTTGGAGACTTCCTGCTTCTAACCAGGAATTTGATGAGCTTTGTAAAGTTGAAGACACAAAAGAACAAGGGCAAATATCATCCAGAATGTATAAGAACACAATCTATTCCTTCTATGAATACCAAGGCAATATTTACAAATCTACTGATAGCTTAGCCATGAGCTGGGATGGCAGGTATATTATGATATCCAACTGTTACCTTGAAAAATCAGAAGAAAAAGACAAAATGATCAGGAGATATGTCTTCACCACCTATGATACTTTTAGAGACTGAATCCAATGGGAATGTCTTATCGATAAACTCTATGAAAACGTATACACAATGGTGGCACATCCTCACAAAAAAGAAATATTCGTCACAGGAAGTCTTTGAGGAGAAACCAAATTTTGGGATGTAGAACGCCAGCAATGCACCTTGACTTTCAACGAACCTCCAGCGAGTCCCCAAGAAATATTTGTAAATCCAGTAACTTTTGACGCAAGCTTTTCTCCTGATGGAAATACACTACTCGTATGATCAGGAAGAGGACATTTCAGCCTTTACTCAATGAAAAGTGTAGTCCCATACTTTTCGACACCTATAAACCAATTCTATGGTAAAAAGGAAACTGATGAAAGTAACATGAGTTTCGAACAGAGAGCCAGAAACGTAGTGATGACTGATTTTGAAGGCAACCATCATCAAGTTCAACCTCCCCCTTCAGTTCTTGGAGAGTTCAGAAACCTTAAACTGACTACTTTTGAATATTCAGAAAATTTAGCTCAAAGAAGATTTCACTATGAAAAAGAGCAAAAGTGGCATCAGAGCTGCTGAGTTGATCAAAGAAATCTCGTTGTTCAAGGAATAATTCCAATTCCTCCAAATGTAGATTCAGAAGCTCCTCCAGCTGCTGAGAATATAGAGCAAGAAGAACAGAAACAGGAAGAAAATGTTGATGAAATTCTTGAACCATCGATCACAGATGAAAACGACGAAGATTTCACTGTAGACCTAAACGAGCATCATGAAACTGATGATGATAGCAATGCTCATTGAGAAGAAGAGCCTATAGTTCCAGAGCAAATTTATGTTCAAGCACCTATTGCTCAAGAAGAGACTATGCCCTCTCTCCCATCTCAGGAGGATGAGTATGATTTTTCCAAGCAAGATTTTGAAAAGGTTGATGACCAAGTCCTAAAACTCAGCCAAACTCCAAACACCAAAGACATGAGAGAGAAATGCTCAAGATGAGGCATCGCTGGAACTACCATTGAGTGTAAAGGCTTAGAAAGCGAGGATTCTAAATGCTCCAAGAACGTCAAATGTGATAGCAAACACTGCTCATCATTTACAATGGCTCTTGACATGCAACGGCAACTTTCTTGACACTCATGCATAATCAAAAAGGTGGCAAAATATCAAGATGAAATTATTAAAGAGGGGTTTTGGGGTTTTGGGGTTTTGGGGTTTTGGGG